GCTACTAATAGCAGCACTTTTACTCTAAGTACTGCAGGGTTCCCACAACAAATATTTTAAGTGCTGAATTCCCTGACATTCCCTGGCCGGATTCTATTGATTTCCCAGACCACGGTATATTTTAGGTACTGTGAGTTTTCTTATATTTAGATAAAAGTTAAGTATTTATCTCTTAAAAACTACTTTTTTATTTTAATACGGCCTCCACCATCTCCAATCCTCATAGCCACTTTTAGCGAATTTTTAATATAGGGAATAAGCTATTACTGCACGTCTCATAGTAAGACCTAGGAGACCCATCAGGATCTGTCAAAGTGTAGTGTTATTTAAAAAAATCCCACTTAAGGCCAACCAAGTGGGCCACGATCCGTAATAGGCCACTGCAAACCATCTGTCAAGATATAGGTTCTTTTATGCAAGGATTCTGTGTTTGGATATTTGGAGACAGGATAGGAGCACAATGAACTTCTTCTGCAGATGAATAATCCGTTGGTTAAAAGAAATATTAGCCGAATTAATAAATGTCACAATCCAAGCGCATTAAAATTGCTCTGGCCTGAATTTTTTATGAAGTATATACATTGGGGATTTCTTTATGTTACTATCTGGATAAGTTACCGGTGCACTTTAAACAATTTATTTTAGAGATAAATTAAATGGTTTTTGTTGCTGAGTAGCGCTAGTAAACATGCACAACCCTTTTCGTTAGCTTAGTAAAATTCAAAGGCTCTATTGCGTCTAAACGCTAGTTACCGCTAAAATTCCGGTTTTTATTGCTAATCTAATTAATCACGCTCTATTTTCATTAGACTTCCAAATCCGCGGGGGTAAAATTCCGCCCACGAACAAACTTTTGAGCTCTCAGGTTACTACGTCATAGTGACGTCAGCTTTGCTTAGGGGGTAAAAATACCAGGGGGATAAAATACCGGCGACCCGCGATTGACGGGTATTCATCAGAGCAACAGAGAGGGATAAGGAGAAAGAGAAGGAGGGGGGGGAGAAGGAGTCTAATGAAAGGAGATGGAGCGATATCCGGAACCTGTTTGTCAATGTGTGGTCACAGAATTAGCAAATCCGGACTTACTCGGCCTTCAAATTCCACAGCAGTGTTGCCAAAAAGCGGGTAATTACCCGAAAAGCGGGTAATTTAGTTACCTGGGGGTAATGCTGCGGGTAATGGCAAATAGGCGGGTAAAAAGCGGGTAAATGACAACTGATCAAATATTATTTGTTTTTCGTATTATTACTTTTATATTTCACTAAAAGAAAAATATTTCCCTGTATTTGTTTCCCAATAAAGTAATTTCATAGACTTTTTATTGTTTTACACTACTTCTCTTAACCTTCATCAGTTTGGTTCAGTTCTCATCTCACCATTGAGATATAGTTCACTCGTTCACTCAGTGACTCAGTCACTCTAGTAGGCTACAGCGTTCAGTCGGTTCGTTCGGTTCAGTTTCAGTTTCAGTCAGTACGGTTGTTTGTAGTCTTTTCTTTTGGATTGGAGTGGAAAAACTTTTGGTAGCCTGGCCGCACAATTTTTATTTCAGCTGCAGTTATTTTAATAAGAACAAAATGAGAGCATCCTATTGGCTGAGGGAACATCTTTAGCGCAATGAAACGGGTTGAAGACATCGGCCTTGGTGGTCTAGTGGATAGCGTGCGGATTACTAAACTTATGGTACCAGGTTCGAAACCCATCGGGTGCACAAACTTTTTGTCTAAGATTTTTGCATTATCAGCAAGTTTGGTTAGTTTTGTTAGGTTATAACAGTTAAATTTTATAATTAAAACCTTATAAAATTGAATTTGAGCTATTTATAGTTTTATTTTATGAACAGAACTATTTTTTCGATTAGTAAACCTTCATTCAATTTTTTCATTATCAGCAAGTTTGGTTAGGTTATGACAGTTTATATTTAAAAAATTAAAAAAATATAAAATTTAATTTGAGGCGTTTATAGTTTTATTTTATGAACAGAACTATTTGTTCTATTAGTAAACCATTATTCAATTTTTTCATTATCAGCAAGTTTGGTTAGTTTGGTTAGGTTATGACAGTTTATATTTAAAAAATTAAAAAATATAAAATTTAATTTGAGGCGTTTATAGTTTTATTTTATGAACAGAACTATTTGTTCTATTAGTAAACCATTATTCAATTTTTTCATTATCAGCAAGTTTGGTTAGTTAGGTTAGGTTATGACAGTTTAATTAAAAAAATAATTTAAATATTTAAAATAATAAAATATTTTTTTAGTTTTAGGCCTATAATAATTTTTTTTCTCTAATTTTTAAACTCTTATTTTGTCCGTATTAAAAAACTGCAGCTGAAATAAAAATCGTGCAGCCTGGCCTTAATTTAATGCCTTAAACCATGGTGGAAGGAAAATACCGTACTAGTCTAGTCTCTAGTCTACTTCTAAAGAGGATGAAAAATATAAAACAGGGGAATAATAATATTTATTGGTTATAATAACTATATTTTCTCCCTATTAATAATAAAAAATTAAATTTTTAACAGTACTTACTCATTACTAAATAATTATATCACATAGGCTATCATAAAAAAAAACCAAATCATTGTAGGCCTAAGTAACTTATGTAATTATTTTTTTTAAGGTCATAAGATTGAAAATTTCATTATGAAGGTTAATTACAAGTCTCAAGTCCCATATTTAGTTCTTTACATCTTAATTTGTGGGATTACTCAAAACTAATTTATCAGGGTTTGTATTCGTTACTTTTAGAGACAGGCAAGAGTGTCAAAAGGGAATTTTTGGTTTGTTGAGGGTAATTTTGAGAAAAAGCGGGTAATTCTTTGCTCTGGAGGGGGTAATTGGGCCATATTGGATTGGCAACACTGTTCCACAGACAAGCGAACCGTATACCACCTGCGATTTGCGACAGGGTCATCACACTAAGAGTCTCTAGACTGAACACTATACCAACTGTGATCTACGACAGAGTCATCACACTACGAGTCTCTAGACTGAACACTCTATACCAACTGCGATCTACGACAGAGTCATCACACTACGAGTCTCTAGACTGAACACTGTATACCAACTGTGATCTACGACAGAGTCATCACACTGAGTATCTAGACTTACCACTGTACCCCACCTGTGATCTTCGCCAGGGTCATCATACTACGAGTTTCTAGACTGAAGACTGAACACTCTATTCCAAAAGTTGTAGGCTCTTAGAAATAGGAGCCACCAGTAGTACGGTGGTAATGATACGACAGGCCCACATAGTCACGGGTTCGAATATCACCTCGCATCACTAGTTTTCAACTCGTATTGACACATCAGTCATCGGATCGTCCGAAGGTTTGTCGAAATCAATTGTAGGTTTCGTAACGGGTGTCGATTACTCTAACAAACTACCGTATCGAGTTATAGGTGACTGGGATTTTGTTTTGTCGATTTGTTCTCGTTTGAGATTTTGTGAACTAAATCTGCGTAATCTTTAATAGACGTTCTTGAACTTTTCTAGCATATAGCACTGCTTATAGTGCGTTCTGAGTAAAACGTCTCTCAAAGTACTGCTTCAGCAAGATTCGTCGTAATTTGAACAGTATTAGTCAATCGCGTCAGTAAGTAGTTAATTCGTACCTACATGTGATAACATTTGGCGACAAGACGAGAACAAGCTATTCTTCTAATCTCATGATTCTCAAAAAAGTGATTGACTCCATGCTTAAGACTTATTATGCTGTAGTTTTTTTTTCGCCGTCTAAATAATCTTCAACCTATTTGAATGCATGCTGAGTCAATTTAATGGGGATCGAATTTAAACTCTTTTAACCCATTTTAAAAGCGTCAACCCTACGAGATGTCACAAAGATGGTCACTGTTTTCAGTACACGTTTCATGCTTTTCTCATTGTAAAATAGTAACCTAGATTTCTTTCAACAGTTTACAGTAATAGCTAGTAGCCGTAAACATGTTTTTAAACTCAATAAATGTCCATATTGGAGCTTGTATATATTGAGCTTATACAACCCTCAACTACTTATTCATTATGAAGGAGGTTCTTAAATGCTAGAACAAGTTTCACCCTTCAAAAAGACCTAACTTTTTACTTTCATTCATAATCTTGCCTGCAGGTGGTTCGAAAATTATAACACAGCGTAGCTTATGTAAGATTCGACCCTGGGTGCTCAGATCAAAACTCCGGCACATTAACTACTTCACCTGTCGCACACATATCGTTGTTGTGCACTACTGTATTGTGATATGAAGGATACTGGCACAGTGCTTAAGCTTGGTTTATACTTGAGCTCTAACTACCTGTATAATTGTTTGAGTTTGAGTTATTACTGCAGTTTCTGGACTAGTCGGCAGACCAAGACAGCCCGACTGAACAGGTTGAGCGGAGTAAATAAATATTTACACTAACAAGTGGTTTGTATTTGAATAGTAGAGAGATCTGACGTGCTTTCCAGCTTGAATGGACACTAGTGAATGGCCGCTGACTGTGATACTCCAGTGGTTGATTATACGCCAAGGACACGGGGCTGCCGGTAGTTTCCAAACTGATGGGGTTATTGGCAGTGGTGACGAAACACAGGGGCAACGGTAGTGCATTAATTGCGCCCAAGAGCTCCTTAATTGCGCCAAGCCCCAAAGGGTCCCAAAACATGTTCCTTAGTTGCACCAAGTCCAATAGGGGTGAGTTGCCGACAGAAGGAATGTCCTTGTTTATATACTTCTGCTCAATGACAAAAACCTCTGTATTTGGAAATGTAGTTCCATTGATTATTTAAGAGTTGAATATAACATTTCAAAGATACATCTTTATGATTAAACTTTAAAAAAGGAATTTAATTATTTTGTTTTATGAATGTTCTTCAAACGGAAAACTGATTTAATAATCTAATATTTTTAGGGACCATTGAGAGAAATGTTGTGTTGTTTTATTGAATTTCAATTATTCCTTTAATTTATTGATTTAGCAACGAGCGCGTAGTGGATGCTGAATGCTACATACCGTGATAGTAAGGAGGCAGCCGAACAGGGCGATGGTGGGGGCACTGCTGAGCTGCGTGCCCATCGTCCTCCTGCAGCAAAACAGAAAACAGAATCAGTATAAAATATCTAGTATCAGAATGAACATAAGAACCAACACTAAGATTATCAAAATATTTAACAAATCGAAATCTGCTCAAAAACTAACAGAGAACAACGAGTTTTACATCTTCACTAGTAGCCGTCACACTCATTTAATTTCATTTCATTTTTATTAAACGGCAAACACCATTTTACAAGTGGGCTTCACAATATCGTTAATAAATATACAGAACAAGAAAGGTCATAATAAGGAACCCTGAGGCACACCCGATGTCACTTGTACCGTAGACCTAGAGCAATATGAAGCAAATTTCACACGTAAGGTTCTTCCCGTAAGGTAGCTCCGAATCCAAGCAAGAAGAGGGCCAGCGATACCGAGAGCTTCGAGCTTAGCAATGAGGTGAAGATGGCTAACTCGATCGAACGCCTTAGCAAAATCCAGCACACTCCTTTACAGGTATGGTCTAGCACCACCTAGTTGTTGGTGTGTTAATTGACGTCGGAACTAACAACGAAAATCTTCAATTGAAAAAGCAATTAAGAAAATATCGACAAAATTCGCATACAAAACGGAACACAGATCTTACTAATATTATACATCTGAAAGCTTGTGAGTTTGTGTGTGTGTTGCTCAATCACGCATAAACTACTGGACATTGGGCTAAAATTTGGCATGATGATAGCTCACATTCCCGATTATATTCTTATTTCAAAAATCCTTTCGGGCTCCGCCCCAGTGGTTATGTCGTTCCCCATGTTAACCTTATGGGTATTCATATTTAAAGGGAATTAATGCATCTTAACAGCTGTTTCAATTAAACAAGTTGGTTTTGTTCTATTATAAGGGTGCAGCACTATTATTTTATGACAACAGCTAATTTCCAACCAAAAGGTGAGTGAGCGTAGCGAACGAACTTCAACCAGGACGTGATTGAGCCATGCGAACGAGCTCATCTTGAAAATTAAGAAGTTAAACGGGACAAGGCCCGCGGGTACAGCTAGTATCTGTATAAACATCAAAATTATATGAGAACAAAGAAAATAGTTATTAGAGGCAATGGCAATCAGGTACCAAGACGGAATCATAAATGAAAAGCACATCTACTCAAATTGATTACTGAACGCACGAAAACAAAAATTATTAATGGCAATAACATTTAGATATTTACAATAAAACTAGCTTGATAACGATACGTAAACCAGGAAATAACTTTACAAGCATAATGTCAGGAAGAACAAAAGAACCAACATCAGCAATGACAATTAGGAAAATAATAATGTGTTTTGCCAACTCATGGCTGGAAGTTATAGTTAATCAATACAGGTCAAGCTTGTAAATGTAGGTAAATGTATAGGTGTTTCTCTTCAAGCTTGTAAATGTAGGTAAATGTATAGGTGTTTCTCTTCAAGCTTGTAAATGGTTATATTGACTGCCCCAGCCTACTTGCGGATATAGACATCACTATACCCCGTGGGACATGGTCATGTTCAATCTTCCAAAGATGCCACAGACCTACAAGCTATGGCCTCAACAGTGGCATTTCCAGGCTTCTCAGGAGTGGCAGCGAGGTGGCTTCCAGGGTCGACTTCTTCCACGGCTCCCCATCTTCATTTAAGAGGTTTCTAACTGGTGTAGTGTCAGTGGAGAGTTAGGTGGTGCCTTTAAAGGGCCACACAAAGTGTTTCTTGAGTGCAATATGCAGTTTATCCTTCGCAAGGGCAATTATACCTAAATCTCTATCAGTGATCGTAGCTTTTCTTTCAAATTTCACCATCATGCCTTTGCATGTTTTATGTTCCTATTTATCATTGTTATGTGTCTTTGTATAGCTTCCTTGTTGTTATGTTATTTATATGCTTTTATTTATATTTTGATACTCCATCCATTGTTGTTAAATATTACCATGTTAAATTAATCTGTTTCCAAATCACTTCTATATTTGCATAAGTACCTGGTTAAACTTTCACCTCATTGTTCTTGTTGATTCTTGTTATGTTTGTTATTGCTATTCTTGTTATTATTTTATAGTGCATTTTTCCAATCATTTCATTATTGTTATTAAATCTTTATGCAAAACAGTGCAATCTGCCAATGTATATTATTGTATAATGGTGTTTCCGTATGAAATAAATAAATAAATAAATACATGTTTTTCAAACTACCAAGAAAAATCCATTGTAAAGACATAAATTCGAAATGCATCCTAAAAGAAAATCTGGTCTAGCACTAATAGATTAGACTTTCTATTAGCACTTATCCGTTTCATTAATCTTCTAAACAGCGTGCATTGTTGACAATCGATTAGCATGTGCAACGGTGACTATTGTTTGGCTAAAGAAAGTTAAAGGGATAGTCCATTCTTTATAACACAAGACAATATCGGAGAGAGTGTCCATATTCATAAGAGATGTGCTACTTCGTGTAAGCCTTTTAACGCGTGACGAATTCAATCATTAGCTTTCGTTTTTGCATTATAACTTGACACAAATAATTATAATGATGAGTTTCTACGCGAAGAAAAATTCTAAGAGAGTAAATAGGCCTATCGTATCTATTTAAAGGGATCTAAATTAGAGTACTTGGATGAAACCAAAAACCTTTAGTTGGTCTGAATTAAGTAAGTAAAGTAATGTTGAGAAAAAAGATCAATAAACGTCGTTGAATACATTTTATTCGGTCACGTTATTATGCTAACATATATCACTAGGCTCGGGACCGATTTACTTTTTCATTTTGATGTCCCCAGAGGCCAAAACCACCATTCGTTCAAATATATATACGAATTTGAAAGGTTGGTGTGAATAAGCTATTACCGTAGGTGGACCTAGACCCGGGACCGATCGATATTTATGCTTCTACATACCAAAGAGATCCCTAGTGAAAAACAACCAGCTTGATTGGTGCATCTCACTTTTAAATTAAATGAAATGAAATGCTTTATTGTCGTTAAAACTAAGTACAAAGTTCATGACAATCGTCAAAAGAAAAGAAAACAATCAAGATGGCTCTGGCAACTAAAATAACTAAAACTATAAACCAAAATACTCTTCATGTTTATACAGGCAAGCCTGGATTAGAGAAGTTTTTAAAACTTGTTTAAATTTTGAAACACACAGGTTTTTGATGGATGCAGGCAAGAAATAAATTGTATATTTTAACACCTTGGTATTAAAAATTATTTTGAGTGGCTGTAAACTTATGCCTTAGTGTAGACAGATTATCTTTAGATCTACATAGTACAATAGTTGTGCACATCAGATATCTTTCCAAAGTGAGAAATGTTTTCTTTTAGATACAACAAACTTGCCAAAACATACAAGGATGGAAATGTGAGAATGTTAAGACCCACGAAAAGGGGCTTACAATGTGTTCTTCTATTCACACTACAAATTAACCTCACCGCCTTCTTTTGTAAAGTAAAAAGCAACCTGTTAGCATAAAAACTGTTGGCCCACAGTGAGGTACCATAAGACAAATAGCAATGAATGAGGCCATAATATATACAAATAAGGACATCATCTGAAACAGTGGACCTAAGTGCTCTTATCATAAATATGCCTTTTACAATTTTAGATGCTACAAAATCTACATGTGAAAACCACTTCAAGTTTGACTGCAAATGAAAACCCAAAAACTTCAGAGTGTTTACATCATTACCGTTACTACTAAGACTAATAGTCAGGTCCTGAGTCTTATCAGCATTAAGACATAACTTGTTTGCATTACACCAGTCATTAATAACAGCAGATTTTGTATCCACTGTATCTGTAACGTCATTCAAAGAGTTACCCCGTACACACAAGGCCAAGTCATCAGCAAAAAGAAAGCTTTTTACGGATAAGTCATTAATATTACAAGGTATAGACACTAGGTATAGACACTAGGTATAGACACTAGGTGACATAAAACTGCCCGGTGATGGTCTTCGGTGCGTTACTTAGACACTAGGTGACATAAAACTGCCCCGGTGATGGTCTTCGGTGCGTTACTTCTGTGACTGTACACTCTAGAGACAAGCTCTATCCAACATCACTACAATGTTGAGACAGTAACCCGAGCTGCAGCCACTACTAGACTCTAGGTGACATAAACCTGCTTCAGGGATGGTCCTCGGTGCGTTACTTCTAAGACTGTACACTCTAGAGACAAGCTCTATCCCACATCACTACAATGTTGAGACAGAAACCCGAGCTGCAGCCACTACTAGACTCTAGGTGACATAAACCTGCCTCAGTGATGTCCTCGGTGCGTTACTTCTGTGACTGTACACTCTGGAGACAAGCTCTATCCCACATCACTACAATGTTGAGACAGTAACCCGAGCTGCAGCCACTACTAGACTCTAGGTGACATAAACCTGCCACAGTGATGGTACTTGGTGTGTTACTTCTGTGACTGTACACTCTGGAGACAAGCTCTATCCCACATCACTACAATGTTGAGACAGTAACCCGAGCTGCAGCCACTACTAGACTCTAGGTGACATAAACCTGCCTCAGTGATGGTACTCCGTGCGTTACTTCTGTGACTGTACACTCTAGAGACAAGCTCTATCCCACATCACTACAATGTAGAGACAGTAACCCAAGCTGCAGCCACTACTAGACTCTAGGTGACATAAACCTGCCTCAGTGATGTCCTCCTTGCGTTACTTCTGTGACTGTACACTCTAGAGACAAGCTCTATCCCACATCACTACAATGTTGAGACAGTAACCCGAGCTGCAGCCACTACTAGACACTAGGTGACATAAACCTGCCTCAGTGATGGTCCTCTCCTCGGTGCGTTACTTCTGTGACTGTACACTCTAGAGACAAGCTCTATCCCACATCACTACAATGTTGAGACAGTAACCCGAGCTGCAGCCACTACTAGACACTAGGTGACATAAACCTGCCTCAGTGATGTCCTCTCCTCGGTGCGTTGCTTCTGTGACTGTACACTCTAGAGACAAGCTCTATCCCACATCACTACAATGTAGAGACA